CACACACACACACACACACACACACACACACACACACACACACACACACACACACACACACACACAAAACCACAACACTTACCTCGACAGGCTCTAGAGATGGCAGCAACAGCCCGACTTCGAGATGTGGCAAGTGCGTAGGTGTTAGAGATGGCAGCAGCGGCGGGTTGATGTCAACTTCCAGCAGGGTGGCTCCTAGGGCAGATGCGCGAATGCCATTCGCGCTTTCCAACATTGCGGGAATGGCAGCCCGAACCAGCGCTCGAATTTCAAATGCTGGCAGGGGCTGCCATTTGTGCGATGTTGGAAAGCGCAAATCACATTCGCACGGCCCCTTTCCTGATGAAAGATCCCGACCACCGATCACTGCAGATCGGCATGGTAAATAAATAAATGAATAAATCACCGCAAGCAACCCACATGTGACTTGCGCAACCAGCTTATGACACATCCAAGAAGAAACCTCTCACCTGTGTTCGTTCATATGGTCGCGAAGATTTCCTGGTGTAGCGAACCGTCGCCCACATCCCGGTTCCAGACAATCATGAACCTTCTCATTCACCGACAACAGTTTCTTTGTTTCCTCCAGCATCTACACAAAGGCAAGCATACAACGCATCGGAGTGATGCTCTTAGATTAAAAGATTCCGGAACTGCCATAAACTCAATTGTCTCAGTTCCTCGTCCTGTCCGAAACTTCGAGGCATTCCTCTCTCACTCATCATGCGAGAGGTGATTAACGGGTACACTAATATTCAACATTTACAATTGTACTGAAATTTTGAATATTACCCATTTTGAAGTGGAAAAGATTCAACAATTTTGAAGTTTTCTGAAATCGGATTTCAACGATTGCAAAGAAAACGAGCGATAGCGAACTTCAGAAACCAAGCAGCATCATACACATGAGACCAGATAGTCGTGACCTCGAACCAAAACCAGAATTGAATCACGAGTCCCACCAAATAATAGCACAGCAAAAGCTCATAAGTGACAATGTTCGAGTAGTATCATCATCATCAACAAAAAACCAATGTCGACATCTTATCTGGCGCTCGGCGCCCAGACTACAAATGGCAGATCCTATCTAGCCTATCTAAAATGCCGCTGATGACATCAACAGCTCCCGGAAGAACGAGCAGATCTCGACCAATGCCCGTACGCTTCAAGCACCAGGTATGTCTCTCGTATCACTCATAACCTCGTTCCCCAACTCACAGATGCCACATGCACCCAAGGACCACCATGCGCCCCATCCAGCATACAGCAGCGCAGCTCGGCTATGGCTGCCTGCTCCTTCCAGCTCGCCCGTGAGCGCGTGAGCGCTGGCCAGCGTTAGCGCAGCAGCGCTTGCACAGCATGCAGCCAGTGCCCCAATCGAATGCGTGGGCAGGCCCTTTCCTAAATGGAAGTGGCCCGCCTGCCTTGCGTGCAGCTTGGCTGCGCTGGGCCCCTGCCCAGAAGCTTCCGGTAGGCCCAGAGAGGCTGAGCCCCAGACCAAACGAATCAGGCCCTGGGCCTGTGGTGGTTGCCCGTGTTCAACTGCGTGCGGTCTATGTTCGGTCCATCTTGCGAATCTGGCCCAGGGCCTGCCTCGGTTACATTCAAAAAGCGGCAGCCTGGGCCTGTGCGTTCTCAACCAACTGGCGCTGCGCAACTGCCTGAATTTACCCAGTTGCGTGGTGCCTGAATTTACCCAGTTGCGTGGTGACCCCAAAACAGGCCTGAAGGCCCAGGGTCGAGCCTGCCTTCACTTAGGGCGGCCGACCATACAGAAAATAGGGCCCAGGAGGGCAGATCAAGGCCCTGAGCCTCGCATTCCCTCCTCCATACTTCGCTAGTCCTCTGAGAAGTTCATTCAATCTGGCGCTTTCCTTTCTGCAGCAACTTCTCATAGTGGGCGACAACTTGCGGTGCGGTCTGCATCAGCTTTTCCCGTGTGAACCATCTATCCTCCTTTGGATCAGTGTGATGTCTGAACCGAACTCTGTACTGCAGCTTCAGCTTCGGAAGACGTCCCCTGCCTGTCGGTCTGGGAACCGGCATTTCCTTGTGGTCCACGATGTCGTCGATGTCCACCTCTCCGTCCATGGTTGGGGGCAGCATTGAGCGACGAGTGGGAAACTGGTCAGTTTCTTCGAATGGCGCAAGCTTAGAGGAGTGAAAAACAGGGTAGGTACGAAGGTGTCCAGGGATCCGAATAACATATGAGGGTCCGTCTGGTTCATTCCCAATTACATCCAGAACCTCCCATGGTCCAAAATACTGTGGCATGAGCTTACGGGAAATCCCGTGCTCCTGTCCCAGTTCAGAAGCCTTGACCCAGACTCTGTCCCCAACCTGAAACGTAGATGAGCGGCGGTGTTTGTTCTCAGATTCGATCATCGTCGCCTGTGCTCTGTGCATGTGTTCTACAGCCTGCTGCATATGCTTCTCATATCTATAAGCAAATTCCAAAGTTCCTGGAGCAGCAGTGGGCTGATTGTCAGGTAGCAGAAAGTCAAGAGGGAGTCTAGGTTTGAACGTTAGTAGTAGGCTGTTAGGACTTACTCCCGTATCACTATGAACTGCGTTGTTGTACAGGCTGGCGATGACAGCAACCTTCTCATCCCAGTCCACTTGATTAGGCTCAATGTAATGCCTCAGCAAATGTTGGACAGCGCGGTTCATCTGCTCCGCATGTCCATTTGCCTCCGGATGGTTTCCAGATGTCATCTGCAGCTGCAATCCTTGTTCGGCAGCTGCGGCCTTCCACAGATCACTGGTGAATCGGACATCCCTGTCGCTGATTATAGACTTCGGTAGGCCAAAGTCTCTAACCCAGTTTTCCTTGAATAGTCTGATCACGTACTCAGTCTTTGCTGTTTCTGGCATAGCTACGAGTCTAGCATACGTACTAAATATGTCCACGATGACGTAGATGTACCTCATGCCACTCTTGCTGGGTGACTAGTGTATCCATGAAATCCATAGACAGACTTCCACCAGGCCTTTCCGGAATGGGAAGGGGCTTGAGAAACCCAAGAGGAGCTTGTGTTTGGGCCTTGTCTCGTTGACAAACTTGACAAGTCTCAACATACAGCTTGGCATCTCTCATCATCGTGGGCCACCAGAACCGCTGCAACAGATTTGCTGCAGTCTTTCTATACCCAAAATGTTCGGTGGCATCATGACACTCGCCTAAAAATAAACTACTTAAAGACTCCTGATTAGGCACACAAAGACGTTTATTCCCGGCCTTCTCAAGGAACAGCAGGCCATTGATCAACTCAAACTCTTCAGACGTAGGTTTATCCTTTGCCTCGAGTCTGCATATGATCTCTGACATGAATGGGTCCTTGCGATAGGCTTCCACCAAGGACTGAGTAACATCGTCCGCAAGCCCAAATTCAGTGACCAGCGCACCAAGAAAATTTGGCCTACGCGACAGCGCATCAGCAACCTTGTTGTACTCCCCCTGATGTACTGCGGTTCGAAGTCATACTGCTCAATGACTTCGATCCAACGCTTCAGAGCGTCAGAGAGTACCGGTTGAGTCGTCATCCATTTCAGGGTCTGATGACCGGTCGTGACATAGAAGAAGCGACCTAGAAGGTAGTGCCTCCAATGGGTGAGCGCCTTGTAGACCGCATAGAGCTCCTTCTCATAGGTGGACTTGGCCACCTTTTGAGAGGGCATCTTTTTGGACATGTACTCTATCGGCCTCAACTTCTTCCCCTCCTGTTGCGCAAGTACATTCGTAGTCACAACGAAAGGTTTGTCAGGATCAAGAAGTTTCAAGACCTCATGGTGTGTCAACGCATGCTTCAGATGTATGAAAGCAGCCTCACATCTGTCTGTCCACTCCCATGGGGTGTCAAGGTGTGTCAAGTCCGTCAAAGGGGCGGCCACGATACTATAATTCTGAACTAAATTGCGGTAGTAGCCTTTCATCCCTAAGGACCTCATCTCAGTCACAGACTGAGGACGCAGCCAGTCATGAATGATGGCCACCTTCGCGTCATCGGGCTTCAAACCCTCCGCGGAAATCTCATGACCCAGATACAAGATCCGGGTGCGACCAAACTCACACTTCTCCCGGTTGATCTTGTACTGGTGCTGTTTGAGGAGACTAAAGACTTTATCTAAGTGCGCTACATGCTCCTCAACAGTCCTACTAAAGATAAGTATGTCATCGAGGTACACAATGACAAACTTGTCCAAGCAGTCATGAAAGATCCGGTTCATCGCGTGCTGAAAGGTGCTAGGAGCATTGCAAAGGCCAAAAGGCATCACCACAAACTCGTACAGACCATACCTGGTCTGAAAGGCGGTTTTGTGTTGATCCTCAGGCCGGATTGCAATCTGATGGTACCCGAACTTCAGATCTATCTGACTGAAGTACCGACACCCTTGCACTCGGTCCAATAAGTCATCGATGTGTGGTAGGGGCTCTGCATTCTTCACAGTGATGGCATTGAGGCCCCTATAGTCAATGCACATCCTCAAAGTCCCCCCCTTCTTTGGTACGAATAGTACAGGAGATCCGTAAGAGGAAACACTAGGACGGATCCAACCCTTCTCTATGAGATCCTTGAGTTGTCGGCGAAGCTCATCGAGCTCACTTGGAGACATCCGATAGATCCTACCCTTCGGAATGCTAGATCCTGGGATAATCTCTATCGCATGGACGACCTCCCTCTCAACAACCCCTTTTGGCTCTTCGAATAGATCATGGTACCTAGCGACCACTCCCTCTATCTCATGAGGCATTTTCACCGGCTCACCCTCTGCAGAGACGTAAACTAAGTACATACCCTCCTCCGGATTTTGCTTATAATAATTATAGAACGCGGCCGCACACATGCATCCATAGGACTCGATCAGACTACTAGTCTTAAACTTACGTAATCTAGCGGTCCCCAAAGTGTGTTTGACCACTTTTCGGTCCCAGTCAAACTGGGGTTGTGCAACCGAAAGATAGTACATACCCAACAGAATGTCCATTGGGAGATCAACGCGATGTCTCAATTTTTGTCCCGCTTACGGAAAAAGACACTCAATGTCTTTAAGGTAGTCGTTGGCTACCATCCGCTGTTTGTTGGCACAGGTCGACTCTATAGGTCAACTCAGGCGTTGTACTTGCCCCTATAAATGCAACCTCTCAATGCATGCACGACTAATAAAATTCCGCGTCGAGCAAGTGTCATAATAGGCCCCGGCCTTGGGGCCGCCGATGACTACCTCGTCGAAGAACATCTCACTCCTGAGGGTTTTAGCCAATGCCGTCCAAGAAGCTAGCGGGTCTGATTTGGACCGCTCCTCTAGCTCCTCTAAGGACTCGAACACATTCATTGAACAAAGGCTCGATGGGTCTGAATGTGTTTGCGGGACGACAACGGAGTCAGTAGCTTGGGCCATCTCTCGAGATGGTGAGGGTGCGTCCACCACCTCGACCCTAGCAGGAACAACTATTATTCCTACTGGCTTGATACGTTTCCCGGAGCAGTGCCAGAACTGCTGGCCACATTACTACCAATGCGAGCGGAGGATCCCAAGGCCTGCCCCATCGTAGGCGGGATCTTCTCGGTTTCCTTCTTATTGCGGCACTTG